TTCCTTACATGCCTGATTGTACTACAGACTCCCTTTTTGCTTTGTTTTTTCTTTCTGGGCCGGGATAAACCTATTTTCTGCTTCCTGACACTTCTAGGTGATGTAATCCATCATGCCTTGTACAGACTTTCCTCTAAGCAGCGTCTCCCATGGTATTCCAATTAGAAATTTTCTGATCTCATCATGGTTCCACCCCTTCAGTATTCCAGCCTTTTACTTTTTGGTCCTTTCCTTAGATGGGTTATTCCTACTGCCATCAGATACTCAAATGTTAGGACACTGTGATCACTCATTTATATCTGAGGGTTCTGATATGACTTCCCTTGTTTGACTCATTCAGGGTAAATATCGGATAGTCTAGTTGGTTCATCATTTCCTATCTTCTGGGCACCTTGACAAGGTGGCATAGAAAGTTTCTTGTTGTTGTCACATCTAATGATTTAGCTCTCCATGTTTGTCCATCCGTGGCCACGAGCAGCCCAAGCCACCGACAGGGAGTTTGGGCTGGAGGCCCAACGAGAATGATTTTTGGTGTTTGGTGTTTTTGCTTGATCTACGCTTCAGGACTTGGAAAAGCCTGAAGTTTTTTCATAGGGTTTATTATGGACAATCGGCTCTCCAATTCTGTCCCTACAGGGTGAGTGTGTGAAGGCTATGCCTTGGTATTGATGTACTCAATGACCAGACTTGCTGCCTTACTTGTGCTGCCTGTTATCTGATGGATATGTTCCACATTGTAGGCCTGCAATATTTGTAGGCATTGGGTCCCTGTTTTGCTGAACCTTCCTCTAGGGACTTGACCTATCTTAAGGCTGCTGCTTTGAGCCAGGGTCCATATTCTTGCTAATGGGCCATTCGGGTCCATGCCTTGGACTTGGCTTGGTCTTTCACCCTCTTGTCCTCTACCCACTTTTTTGCCTCTCGTTTCCTGAAGCTGCTGTCTTGGGTTTTTCAGCTGCAGTGGTGGTGTTTCAGATGCTCGCTCGGTGTTTTTTGCAGCAGGGGTTCTTTCCCCACTGCTCGAGGGAGGCAGGTTCACATCTTGGTATACTTATTAACTGGTTGATTTGGTTGTTCCATGCATCTGCGGATCTGGGATCTCGTTAAGTGTAGTTACAGGATGAGAGCTACACTCATGATGTCATGTCTGCCCAGCACTCTTTGTTGTGTAACTTTGAAACTACTGACGGTTTTGGCCTCTACCACCTCGCCTAACTTGTTCCAGCTGTCTACCACTCTGTTTGTGAAAGCAAATTTTCTTGTATTTATTTGGCAGTGTTTAGTTAGCTTAAATTTTTGACCTCTTTTTCTTGAAGTTCCAGGTCTTGGGAATTCTTCCTCATAGATTTTGTTGATTTCCATTACTATTTTGTATGTAGTGATCATATCGCCTCTTTCTTCTATCTTCTAGTTTTGGCATATTTAATGTCTAACCTCTCCTCATAACTCTCGTTCTTCTGTTCCAGGAGTCATTTAGTCGCATGTCTTTGCACCTTTTCCAGTTTGTTGATGTGCTTCTCAAGATACAGGCACCATACAACTGTTGCATATTCCATCTTTGGTGTAACCGAATTGCCCGAAACGCATTGCGTAATAGTGGCTTTAGGCATTGTATGTACTAGCTCTATCTATATATCAATCCATTAATGTAACATCACTTGTATGTATGTACCTTACCTGAATAAACATATTTATTTATTTATTTATTTATTTATTAACAAAAGTCTTGAAGTTTCTTTAGTATTTCACCATCCATGTATTTAAAAACAATTCTGAAATTAAAAAGTGAAGCATAGGCTCCTCGATGTTCTTTGTGTGGTCCTCAGGTGATGGAAAACTATCTAGAACCCCCCATCAATCTCTTATCAAATTTTTTAAAGCTTTCTCACAATTATAGGTTGTGTGGGGTCTGTTCCTATTCTACGTTCCATAACATGGCATTTATTAATATTAAATTCCATTTATCAAGTGGTGCTCCGTACTTATTTAGTCCAGGTATTCTTGAAGGCCTGGGTGTGACAATCATGGTATGTAAGTACCCAAGTGTAGTTACAGGATGAGAGCTATGCTCGTGGTGTCCTGTCTTCCCATTACTCTTTGTCGTATAACACTTTGAAACTACTGACAGAAGCAAGTCTGAAGTTGGAAAGCGATACATACGCTCCTCTCGCAATGTTCTTTTGTGTTCCTCTGGCTACAGCTTACTATCCAAAACCACCCCTAAGCTTTGTTCTTTATTAGAGTTCTGTAATGTCTTTCCACATAATATTGTAAGTTGTGTGTCGTCTATTTTCTCTGATTTCACATTCCATAACATGGACATTTATTCATTGAATTCCATTTGCCACTTGATGCTCCAAGCACTTGTTTCATCTATATCAATTTGAAGGGCATTACAATTGTCTGCGTCTTCTATCTTCCCCAATATCTTATCATCCGCAAACATGTTCATATAATTATGTATTCAATGATACATGAATACATGATTTGTGTTGATACATAAATGTCTCCAGAATGAGGTTTACAAATCTGCCTGTCCACATGTCCTCCGTTCTTGCTTCGTGGGCCTCCCAGTCTATTACTGTACTTTCAAGTTGAAGTACCCCAGTACCAACAATCATGATTTATCTTTATCTTCTTCTTACTATAATCTCTCTCATGACCATTATAAGGCGCACTCATTTGTCATCTAGTTCCTCCTTTGTCCATGTGTTGCTTGTTGGTGAGCTGTAGGCATTTGTGATTATCAGTTTATCTTCCTGATTCCAGACCTGCAATGCCATTATGTCAACTTCTCGAGGGTTATTAAGTATTAACTCTTTCCTTCAGGTGTTCTTTCACCAGCACAGCCATTCCCCTCCCCCTCCCCACCCTTTCAAGTTTTCCTGTCACGTCTCCAAACTGAGTAGTCCTTTGGGAATACGACCTCATATAAAATAATTTCTTAAAGTTCCTTCTCTGCTAGTGCGACAATATCTGGAATGTTAAGCTGAATTAAATCTTTTTAGCTTCGGTATTTTTTGTTTTTATCTAACTTCGTCTGTGTTGGTATATACAATTTTCAGGAACATGTTCCCATTCCCTTTGTCCTTTATTCCCCCTTCCTCTAATGATTTTGTTCCTTTGATTTTTATGTTCCGTTTCACTAGCTTTCCAGTCCCTAACACTTTGTAAAAGGAAAAATTTTTCTTCATTTCTATTTCCTTTTAGATGTTTCGCTCTATTGAGGTTCATTTTCAGCTTTTCTGTCTTCCTTTGAGAGGTCTTGTCTTATTGGATAAAGTCTGCCATCCTCATCATTGCAATTTCCTGGCATTTCTAAGCACTTCCATCATTTGTTTCACTCCATTAAATGTCGCTCACAAGGGGCGATTTTTGTCTCATATTTTCTTATCCTCCTAAAATCACTGACATTTTCCTTTGAATTGAGACCTTCTCCTAGACCTATTGTTTTCTCTGATTTTCATCTCTGCTGCTGTCCACCCTCAATGATATTTCCTTTTCTAATCACCAATAAATTATGGACTTGCTTCTACCTGAAGTGTTTTGTACTAATTTACTGTTGGTAACCAGTTCTTTCCTAATTGCTTGTCTAATTTCTGCTTCTTGCTGGTATATTGTATATATATATATGTTTATATTATACATTACCAGTCAGCTTTACTTAATGCTAATTGCCAATAATTTTCATCTTACAATTTTTCATATAAAATGTCTTAATTACTTAGTATTATTTTGTACGTAAATGTCGGTAATATTGTCAGAACCATATTTTCATGATTACAGGTGGTGTTGGACTGGTTTAGGTAGCTTTGTGGTTGGTTTGAGTTACTGGCTTGTGCTCTAATTTTGTAAATGTCTTTATATAAATGTACTGTATTGTACAGGTTCTTTTTTTTTTTTTGTAATTTGTCATATTTAACAATTTATTGCTAAAGAGAATTGACTCTCCTTTTGAGCGAAAAAATGAATATTATAAAAGATATAAGAGGAGAATTGAGCGAAAAGGCTTGATATTATAATTTTATATAATTTGTTTGGCAATATGTAATACAGGCAGTTCTATAATTACGAACAAGGTACGTTTTGGGACTGTTTGTAAAGCATTTGTTCAGAATGCAGATAGATTTTCCATAGGTGCAGTGCTATAACTGGGAAATGTGTTCCCGGGCCACCAAAAATCCTCGCAAATCCACTGTGTTTAGGACGTATACAAAAACCACAACATTATTTAAATTGAATGATGGAGTTATTCTGCTTTTCAAAGTTATCTGTTTTTGAAGAGTCAAGTACTGTAGTACAGTATAATTACATGAATAAATCAATGAAAATACATGTGTATTGTATTGGTGGTCCACCATTTTGTAATTGGCCTCGGGAGTAAGTACCTGCCCACCCTCCTCCTATCACCACCCCAGAAAACCCCACCAAAAGAGTAAACATGATCAAATCATGTTAGTGTGGGGTCATTGAGGACTTGAGACCAGTGGATCTCACTCACCCCTAGCCACCCCCCCTCCACAAACCTACTCCCCCCCCCCCCCACGCAACCCCTCCCCACTCCACCCATACTTATGCTCCATGTGGCTGCCACACGGATGTCTGCTCTGTCACAAAATTCTAAGGGATGCTCCAGTGAATTAGTGCAGTACAATGATTTTATGCACGAAGGGGGGTACATGGTGACCTGGGACATGGTGACGAATGTTCGTAAAGCGGAAACTCCCTGTATAATATTGATGCCCATGAGGCTTTTTGTAGAGGCCTATAATACAGTATATAAAAATATTATTTAATGAACCTTTGCTGTATGTCAGGAATTCCAATATGGCCACCAAATGTAGTCCTCAAATTACTGCAATTGTTTTTTCTATTACATGTATATTCTGTACGAGTTAGTCCCCTCTCCTGTTTTAAAACAAAAATGCTTATTGTGATTTTTTTCTGGTTATTCTGATATTTTGTTAAAATGGTATTTTTTTTACATTGTATTTTTTCAGGCCTCAAGAAACACTCCAAATTTTGGATTATTATTTGACATTGATGGAGTGATAATTAGAGGGAAGCATATCTTACCATCAGCACCTGAGGCCTTCAACCTTTTAGTTGACAAGTATGGCAAATTTCGTGTTCCAACTGTGTTTGTCACTAATGCCGGCAATGCCCTCCGCAACGACAAGGCTGAACAGCTGTCTCAGTGGCTGGGAATTGAGGCAAGTTTTAATGTAGTATATATAAGTAAATAATTATTAATTCATAAAATATGCATACCTAAGAACGTAATACAAAGAAATATTGGGAGGTGCAGGGATTGCATAGTAAATAAAAACCACCGTCTGTCGTATAGCCGTCAATGATTGTGAAGATCAATGTCCCCGTGGCCCGATCTCTGACCAGGCCTCTTGGTCTGGTCAGCCAGACTGTTGGATCTGGCGGCTCACAACCTGACACAAGTCACAGCCTGGTTGATATGTATCCTTCGTATTTTTCAAATGTAAATTATTATGTATCTCCTTGCCTGCATTTTACGGAACACAGATTAAAAAATTTTAAGCGGTCCTAATTATTTAGATATTTATAGAGTTGGTTCTAGCAGTAAAAGATCCTTGCACACTTTCCAAGTCAGCAGTTTCTCCAGCTTTGAACATTAGTGTCTTAGTTGACCAGACCACACACTAGAAGTTGAAGGGACGACGACGTTTCGGTCCGTTCTGGACCATTCTCAAGTCGATTGTGATGAGGAGGTAGAGACAGGCAATAAATAGGCAAGAGAGCTGAGGAGGAAAGTAAGGTGTAGGGGATAGTAGTAATAATGAGAACTGCAGAAGGCCTATTGGCCCATACGAGGCAGCTCCTATTATAACCACCGAAGGAGATAGTAATAGGAATAAGAAGAGGATAGCAAGGGAGCGTAGGAGAAGACAATGAACAGAAAAAGGGGAGAAGAGAGAAAGAAAAGGAAAGAGAAAGAAAGATAAATGGAAGGGGTAGGCTTACGTAGGGGTAGGCTTACGTAGGGGTAGGCTTACGTAGGGGTAGGCTACTCTACACAGACGCCGTCTTGTAGATTCGACTCTTATACACAATGTACCCAACATGAACTTGAGTCCTGGCTTTGTTGCTGTGGACTCTTCCCTTTCACAGTATATACTCAAATGCTCTAATCTTTCTAACAAACGTGATTTAACATAAGCCTACCCCTTCCATTTATCTTTCTCTTTCCTTTTCTTTCTCTCTTCTCCCCTTTTTCTGTTCATTGTCTTCTCCTATGCTCCCTTGCTATCCTCTTCTTATTCCTATTACTATCTCCTTCGGTGGTTATAATAGGAGCTGCCTCGTATGGGCCAATAGGCCTTCTGCAGTTCTCATTATTACTACTATCCCCTACACCTTACTTTCCTCCTCAGCTCTCTTGCCTATTTATTGCCTGTCTCTACCTCCTCATCACAATCGACTTGAGAATGGTCCAGGACGGACCGAAACGTCGTCGTCCCTTCAACTTCTAAGTGTGTGTGGTCTGGTCAACATACTTCAGCCACGTTTGGTCAACATACTTCAGCCACGTTATTGTGACTCATCGCCTGCATTAGTGTCTTAAAAAGTATCATTGGTATGCCACCTCTTGTTTGAAAGGTTCTCATTATCCAACAAATTCTGTTCTCATGATTTGTGATAATTTGTTATTCTCCTAAACATTATTTAAAGTTTTTCATTAATTTTTGCAAAAGATGTGTAAACCAATTTTATGCTGGCATTAACATAATAGGTGTTGTGAAAGATGGCTTATAATCTATGGCTATCTATGTTCACCGTAACATTAACTTGCTCCTAGTTGTTTGATCAGTTGTGGTTATCCTTAATCACTGGCAATCCTGCTACCTTTATCATTAATGACTTGTAAGTGAAGGAACCTTATGTTATACAGTACATGGTAGTCTTGCAGGATTTAAGACGGTAATAATTTGTCTAATCTTCAGGTCCATGAAGATCAGGTGGTTATGGCGCACTCTCCCCTCAAGATGTTTGACCAATATTTCAATAAGCAACTGTTGATTTCTGGCCAAGGTCCAACTCTAGAAATAGCAAAGAACCTGGGCTTCTGCAACACTGCAACGGTGGATGAAGTACGCCGGGCATATCCCCAGCTGGACTGTGTGGATCATAAGAGGCGCAGTTTAAATGTAAAGTCTCCTCTTATTTATTTATCGGGTATTTGCACGAGATTTTCATGAGATTTATTTTGGCATGTTTAACACTAAATTAGGTTTGTGATGGCTGATTGGAAAGTTTATTTTTTCTAATTTGTAAAGAGTCCGTCATTTGCAGTTTCTCCGTTTTGTTTCCTGCTCGTACCTGTACCTGCTTTAATGTATTTTTGTTAAATTTAACTGTAGCTTACTGGTAAGATTATAAAAGTCCAGCTTGATTTATGGATAAGTGTGTTTAGAGGTCAGGGCCTAAACTACTGTAAAACTAGATTGTTACACCTTTGCTAGGAAGCATTTTCATAATTTGTCATAAATGTAAAACCAAATTTTCTTGGTGTTTACCAAGATTGTTTACATTAGAACAATGTAGCTTGAGTCATGAATGGACTTTAGTCCAAAAAAGAAAGATTTCATCCCTTCTTAGATCTGCAAACATTCCATTGCTGTCTGCTCAATGGTCAGTCATGTACCTCCATATTTTGGAGTTCTGCCTCTTTAAAAATGAGTTATAGTTTAATGTATATCCACACTCAGACTGAAATACAACCCCCCTCCCCCCCTTCCCCTTGTGAATGGCTACACCAGCAGCTGCAACTTCCACTAGCCATAATTGCATCCAACAGCTACTGTCGCATGTACAATAGTGGAATAAACTCCCACCAGCATAATGGTGCTTCTCCCTGCTCAGCTCTCAGCCAGTCGGGGAGCAGTGTTGTCCTGGGCGGCAGCTGCAGCAGCCGAGCATACAAGGACGGTAAAACACGCTGCAAAATGTCAAAATTCAATGCCGTTATGATTGTCTTCCTTCACCAGCCTCACTGCAGCCACTTAAAATGCTGTACTGACTACCTGACTTCATGGCCTTCAATGTCCTCGCTGTCACATTACTTGAACACTGTACCTTAATGTAGTTATATATTGTTGGTTCCTACTGTTTCAATATCCATCTGTGGGTATCCTGAAGTTAGGCATCACTTTTGACCTGTGTATGTAGTCAGCGTCTACATTATGCCCTCTCTTCCCTATCATTTACCGTGTTCTCTGCAAGTCTCTTGGTTTCTGCTCTTTTAACCCTTTAACTGCGCGGCCTATAAATATGACACCTCCCCAGTGCGCAGGAAATGAAACCTCGGGAAAAAATAATTTTTTTCTTCTGAAAGTGTCAAAAACCCCTCTCTGTATATGGGTATAGCAACGGAAGTTCGAAATTGTACTTACTTTGGCTGCTATGGGGTCCGAAAGATGGGGCGTGACGTCATCATTCCCAGTGCGCCAGAGCAGTATGCTCTCGGGGCCAGTGGGGCGCCCGGGGCAGGGCGTGCGAGTTGCCGTGAATATATTTTTGTTCATTTTTTGCGCACAGTTCCAAATACATTTTATTTGTTTTTATGTGCTAATCCTATGTATAATGAACACGTACACTACATTATGGCAGTAAAACATCCGTACTGTCCAAGGACACTGTTACGTGCATTACACTTGTGTACACATATCTTGCACATATTTACCATGTATCATGCTAATTTATGTATATATACAATCTATTTACAGACTATACACTGTCACACAATATATACATTCACCATCAACACATTCAGAACACCGCGAGTATGAGCAGCCACACCCAGCCAGCCCTCCCTCACTTCTCCAACATTGCCCCTCCCATTATGCAGTTATTCACACCAATGTTTCTTGTTCATTTATATATATTTACAACATATGTACACACTATACACTGTCTCACACTATATACATTTACCATCAACACATTCAGAACATCACGAGTGTGAGCAGCCACACCCACACAGGCCCTCCCTCACTCCAACATCTTACTCGCCAACTTAGCTCCTCCCACCATACTGTCATTGTTTTTATTACACTATTTACACATGTTATATATAGTTATCAACATGTTTTATTTACTAGAACTATGCAAGTAAGCCGGTATTGTGTCCAAACAGTACAGTGGCCATCATACACTGCATGAGAAATCACACAGCAGACAGCAGACGATGCTACAATTACGACGTCACATCCCTCACCAATGTAGCTCATATGGGCCAATAGCAGGTGCCTCCTATGGGCCAATAGCAGCTGCCTCGTATGGGGCCAATAGCAGCTGCCTCCTATGGGCCAATAGCAGCTGCCTCGTATGGGGCCAATAGCAGCTGCCTCCTATGGGCCAATAGCAGCTGCCTCCTATGGGCCAATAGCAGCTGTCTCCCATGGGCCAATAGCAGCTGTCTCCCATGGGCCAATAGCAGCTGCCTCGTATGGGGCCAATAGCAGCTGCCTCCCATGGGCCAATAGCAGGTGCCTCCTATGGGCCAATAGCAGCTGCCTCGTATGGGGCCAATAGCAGCTGCCTCGTATGGGGCCAATAGCAGCTGCCTCGTATGGGGCCAATAGCAGCTGCCTCGTATGGGGCCAATAGCAGCTGCCTCGTATGGGGCCAATAGCAGCTGCCTCGTATGGGGCCAATAGCAGCTGCCTCGCATGGGGCCAATAGCAGCTGCCTCGCATGGGGCCAATAGCAGCTGCCTCGCATGGGGCCAATAGCAGCTGCCTCGCATGGGGCCAATAGCAGCTGCCTCGCATGGGGCCAATAGCAGCTGCCTCGCATGGGGCCAATAGCAGCTGCCTCGCATGGGGCCAATAGCAGCTGCCTCGCATGGGGCCAATAGCAGCTGCCTCGCATGGGGCCAATAGCAGCTGCCTCGCATGGGGCCAATAGCAGCTGCCTCGCATGGGGCCAATAGGAGCTGCCTCGCATGGGGCCAATAGGAGCTGCCTCGCATGGGGCCAATAGCAGCTGCCTCGCATGGGGCCAATAGGAGCTGCCTCGCATGGGGCCAATAGGAGCTGCCTCGCATGGGGCCAATAGCAGCTGCCTCGCATGGGGCTAATAGGAGCTGCCTCGCATGGGGCCAATAGCAGCTGCCTCGCATGGGGCCAATAGGAGCTGCCTCGCATGGGGCCAATAGGAGCTGCCTCGCATGGGGCCAATAGCAGCTGCCTCGCATGGGGCCAATAGCAGCTGCCTCGCATGGGGCCAATAGCAGCTGCCTCGCATGGGGCTAATAGGAGCTGCCTCGCATGGGGCCAATAGCAGCTGCCTCGCATGGGGCCAATAGGAGCTGCCTCGCATGGGGCCAATAGGAGCTGCCTCGCATGGGGCCAATAGCAGCTGCCTCGCATGGGGCCAATAGGAGCTGCCTCGCATGGGGCCAATAGGAGCTGCCTCGCATGGGGCCAATAGGAGCTGCCTCGCATGGGGCCAATAGGAGCTGCCTCGCATGGGGCCAATAGGAGCTGCCTCGCATGGGGCCAATAGGAGCTGCCTCGCACGGGCCCAATAGCAGCTGCCTCGCATGGGGCCAATAGGAGCTGCCTCGCACTGGGGCCAATAGGAGCTGCCTCGCACGGGGGCCAATAGGAGCTGCCTCGCACGGGCCCAATAGGAGCTGCCTCGCATGGGCCCAATAGCAGCTGCCTCGCATGGGGCCAATAGCAGCTGCCTCGCATGGGGCCAATAGGAGCTGCCTCGCATGGGGCCAATAGCAGCTGCCTCGCATGGGGCCAATAGCAGCTGCCTCGCATGGGGCCAATAGCAGCTGCCTCGCAGCTGCCTCGCATGGGGCCAATAGCAGCTGCCTCGCATGGGGCCAATAGCAGCTGCCTCGCATGGGGCCAATAGCAGCTGCCTCGCATGGGGCCAATAGCAGCTGCCTCGTATGGGGCCAATAGCAGCTGCCTCGTATGGGGCCAATATCAGCTGCCTCGTATGGGGCCAATAGCAGCTGCCTCGTATGGGGCCAATAGCAGCTGCCTCGTATGGGGCCAATAGCAGCTGCCTCGTATGGGCCAATCCTGGTCACTAATTTCTGTAAGTGAATAATTGACCACAAGTTTATTTTGAAAAGGAACCTAAGATGTCGTTTGAAGATTCCTAGATGGAAGAAATAATGCTGTGGTGCTGTGGCTAGCGCTGTGAACATCGTGAACAGCATTGAATCACTGATATTTGAACATTGTACCCAGTCATTATCCCACTCAGGTTCTTCTATAATACTATCACGGCTAAATAATACAGGTTATATATATATTTTGACATTATTAGGCGATGCTGTGGTCACACGCTGAACAGCAGAGCTGTGCGCTCATGCTGCGAGTGTCAGCCTTGGTTGCTCATAAGAACATAAGAACAAAGGTAACTGCAGAAGGCCTATTGGCCCATACGAGGCAGCTCCTATCTATAACCACCCAATCCCACTCATATACTTGTCCAACCTGCGCTTGAAACAATCGAGGGACCCCACCTCCACCACGTTACGCGGCAATTGGTTCCACAAATCAATAACCCTGTTACTGAACCAGTATTTACCCAAGTCTTTCCTAAATCTAAACTTATCCAATTTATACCCATTGTTTCGTGTTCTGTCTTGTGTTGATATTTTTAATACCCTAGTAATATCCCCCCTGTAATGTCCATTCATCCACTTGTAAACCTCTATCATGTCACCCCTAACTCTTCGCCTTTCCAGTGAATGCAACTTAAGCTTTGTTAATCTTTCTTCATATGAAAGATTTCTAATTTGGGGAATTAACTTAGTCATCCTACGTTGGACACGTTCAAGTGAATTTATATCCATTCCATAATACGACGACCAAAACTGAACTGCATAATCTAAATGGGGCCTAACCAGAGCAAGATATAGCTTAAGAACCACACCAGGTGTCTTGTTACTAACGCTTCGATTAATAAATCCCAGTGTCCTATTCACCTTATTACGAACATTCATGCATTGATCCTTTTGTTTTAAATTCTTACTAATCATAACTCCCAGATCCCTTTCGCAATCCGACTTCGCAATCTCAACACCATCTAGCTCGTATCTTGTAACTCTATCATCATTACCTAGCCTCAGAACTTTACATTTATCAGCATTAAACTGCATTTTCCAATCCTTTGA